TAGGCCAGTGGGTGATTTCAACTGAGGCAGATAAGCGGTCTATGTCCCCTTGCCCTCTGTTGACCTCGCTCTTCTTAGCATATTTCTGGACTAATGATATATAGTATATATATAATATATAATATATATAGGGTTAGGGTTAGGGTTAGGGTTAGGGATTAGGGTTAGGGTTAGGGTTAGTCAGAAATAGCTAAACGAGCGAGGTCAAACAGAGGTCAGGGGGACATAGACCCTACGAGCCCAACTGAGTATAAGTAAATTTGAGTTTCTAATTTGCTTATTTAGCAAACATCAAATTGAAATCATCTTTTCGTTTGAAAAGAGGAGGGATTGCAGTGTTTAACCCTGAGATCAGCTGAACCGTAAACTAACCATTCCACGAACATAAACAGAAAGTAGAACAGAAACGTATTGCGTACATACACTGTGAGGGGATTAATGTGGTTTAATCCGTTAGTAAAGTCTACAGTATCCAACATGGCAGCGTTCAGCATTCAGCATTCGTGACTGTTATGTTTAGGTTTTGCAATTTTATTATGTTTGCACACGCAAGTTTTATACTACTTATTACTAGTTCAGTCGGGTTAGTAGTTGCTGAAAAAGTAAGTACTAGTAATACGTTATCTGGTAGGCATTCCCACTCGCCAACAGGGCTGGTCAGCCCAGACATTCTGCTAGCCCTTACTGATTTCTACTAGCCTCGGGCGAGCAGGCGAGCGTTAGTTTTAAGCCCTGACTATGTTATATATACTATGCCACACTATAGCTCTTTACACTGGTTAGATTCTTGGGAACAATGCAATTAAACAATCAACACCTTAATTTTTTTTTATTGGGAGACATACAGTTGTACCGTTGAAGTATAAGTTTGATGGATAAAATGATGAGGAAATCCAAACTTGTGTGTTAATCTGAATAAACTTTAATATCTGACACACAGTGTAGTCTGGTCACATCTTGCACTGATTGACAAAAAAACGTGCACGCGCGCGAAAGCGCGTGTGCTTACTCTCGCGACCACAACCAGACTCCACAGCTCCTACATCTTTCTCCCTTCTCTCTAATCTTTCTACTATATATTCCTCCCCAGCCTACCACACATCTGCCCCCCCCCCACATATATGTAACTAACCCACAGCCCTATGTCCCTACGCTCATTACACAATGACTCTAGAAACGCCCGACCTAAAACACGTTTACCATTCTCTCGATAACATCAATGTAGCCGCAACAAGACGCGGGACGCTCTGTCTACATAGATTACCTCAAAAACAACTCCGAGTCTAGCCGCACTCCGCGTCTCTAACTAACTATCTGTAAATCATATGTTACACAATGCTTTCAAGCTATCCCTTGAATAACTGTACCTAGTTGGAATAATACAATTACCAGGCACACTATTACACAAATATCATAATTGGGCTGGCAGTGAAGTGGTGTGCGTGGCAACATCAGGACCATGGAAGAAGCTAATGTAAACACACGAGCACGAGCATGTCAATTCCTATCGTACCCAGGGTACGTTCCAGCAGTACCCCGGGGGACATAGACCCTATGAGCACTACTAGTAGTAGTATTATTAATACTAATAGTAATACTAATAGTAATACTACTAGTAATACTAATACTAATACTAATAGTACTAATAGTAATACGTACTACTACTACATTGACTGTGCTTGGTACTGGTAAAAAGCTGCGAGATGGGTCTCCAGAAACTATGATGATAGTACCGATGTTGTTTTGGCTCGTCTTGAATGGCCTCCCC